TGTAAGCCAGGCACCCTTTTCTCCAGTGAGGAGAAAACAAAAATATCAGTGTTTCCCTGGAATGTTCCTCTTTCCAGTTGAGAATTCCTGGACATACTCTGCTGCCTCTTAAAAGTCAGAAAGCTAACATTCCATAGCAGGGGAATCTAAAACTGAATTAAAATATCTCCTCCTTCCTCCGCCTTTTTAAATTTCAATTTTGTGGCTTGTTCTGTTATGGCAAAAATCTAACTGAAATGTACTTTTATGAGCACAGAATTAAAAAAAAAAATTTAATCCCACAGCCAGCCATGCAGATGTCATAGGTCTTCTTTCGTCTGGGTCTCTCGTCTGCTTGGATGTGCAGATAGTACTAACCAGCCTTCAGCAAGGTGGCCTGTGGCTGGGAGCTCTCTGGCTCCACCCACTGGACACCCGCCAGACCACAGGTTCCTTGTCTGGTTGGGACATCCTTCCTCCAAGTGCCTCTGGAGCACTGGGGCGTGAGGGGGAACCCATAGGTCCAGATTTATAATAAGAGTTTTGAGGTTCAGGCAGATCTCCTTCCAACATTTTTTCCCTGGTGACAAAAAGGAGAAAATAAGCTCCTAAGGTTTCCCTGAAGGAGAAAAATGAATCACCAGGAGTCAGTGTGAGTGGCCTGCTTTGGGAATGAAAGGAATCATAGGAGAGTCTCCACGACTTCCTTATGCAAATGGGCCACTGTCCCCGATAGAAATAATCAAGGTAGTGAGAATGATAAGAATTGCCACAAATGGTTAAGCATTTGCAAAAATCCTATGTTATACCATTGTCCCCATTTTGTAGATGAGCAAACTGAGGCTCAGAGTTTAAATAACTTGCTCAAAGTCTGACTCAGCCTTTGTACTTTTAACCACTCTAGTGCTGTCCAATATTTCCAACTTCTGCCCATATGTTTGCTTTTCATTCATTCATTCATTCATTCACTCAACTCAGCTATGATGCATATTTATGGACCTCATCCTGAGGCTGCTTCCACACGACACCCATGCAGCCTTCTGCCTCAGTGGCACTGGTCAAGGCTGAGGGTGTGTAGTGAGCCTCAGGCTTTCTTGGAAAAACCACCTCCTTCTTTACCCACTCTCCCTCCCTGGCCTTTCTACTGGTCCCTGTAAAGCCACACCTGAAGTGGGGGTCACAAAACATAGCCTTGCCATATTGTATGCATAAGGCAGTGCAAAGCACATGGAATTTCAAGTCGGATAGACCTGAGTTTGAATACTGGCTTTTTTCTGGCAAGCTATATGACCTTAGGCTTGTTACTCACTGTCTCTGAGCCTCAAATTCCTCGTTGTAAAGTGGGATAACTTTAATTCCTTTATAAAGTCGTGATGAGGAATGACATCTTTAAAGCACCATGCTGAACATGTAGAGGTGCTACCATTCTGATGCCTGCCCCTCTTAATCAGCATTGGTGTTCCTTGGGAATTTCCAAATGGGACCTTTCTCCTGGCTTCAATAGGGGACAAGCTTCTCCTTGGCTTTGACATCAGAAGGGGCGCAGTTATGTGTACAGAGGAAACCATTTGCTTCATTCAAGAACTGTAAAACTAGGTAGGTTTCTGATGCAGGGCTTGCCAAGTTCTCACACTGCAGGATCCTGAGATGCCAGGGTCTGCTGCCACCCTGTTGCTGTAGACAACTGGGCACTCAATATTTTGTGCATATATGTGTTCTCTGTGCTTTTAAGCAGCCTAATTGCACAATACAATGACCTTTTCTCTGTTGTTTCTACAGTAGCTCCTTTATTATTTCCAGAGAGTCATTTGCTAGTATTTATGCCCTAACATTGTTTTTCCTTGGTCTTTCTTATGCATCTCCTTTTTGGGTGCCCCTCTCTGTTCTTGTTCCAAGTGAATGCACCTTCCAGCACTCTGCCTAGAACGTTCACAAATGAACATACACAAAGCTGCTCTCTTCTTCCACTTTCTCCTTGGAGTTTCTGCCCCTAGGATGTTTTCTCTCTCCTCCTTCTCCTCTTGCTCCATCCAAATCAGTTTGGATTTCCCAGTGGGCTTCTGTGCACTTAAAGCAATTTACATCTCTGTTCCTCACTGAACATGAAATTATGCCCCCCAGCCCTGAAAAGTTTCTGGTAGTGCCTTTTATTTCTAAAATATATCTTATAATGCACAGTCCCATCTGGGCTGGAAGGTATTGGATGATGAAGTCAGGATCCAATCGCTCTCTTTATTCATAATGGACCTCCCTCTTTCCAGAAAGATGTTGAGACAGTTCAACAGATATATGTAAGAGGATATAAGGACTAGGTGACAAAATGGAGAAGGGAGAACACAACTATGGATAAAACACAATTTAAATTTTTTTTCTATACCTTGCATTTGTAGGTATTTCTAAATTTGTGTTGTTTTAATCAAATTATTATAACAGTTTCATTTGATTGCTGCTTGATATTGATCTATGCATAGGCAATTTAATGTTACAAATAATTGACACCTCAAGAGTATGTAATTGGGTGGTGCCCACACTGAGAAATTCTACAAGATATTCTCATGCTTCCCTGTCTCCTCACCCCCGATGAAGAGAGTAGCAAGGACTACAAGCATGGAACAGAATGTTCCTTTGTAGTGTGTTCTGAGCCTACTGACTTCTTCGATTTGGAAAGCAAACAAAAAGGCACCAGATGAGAGCCCAAACTCCCAGAATGACACTTGGAGGAGACCCTTTGTGATAGGCATTCCCTAGAGTGAAGCCAAGGGCCACGCTGGAGCAGAGTGCAAACGTCTCACTCAAACCTCCTCCACCCGCCCTTGCTGGGGGAACACAATGATGGGTGATGGCAGGAGGCACTGAGGTCCCCAAGTTTTTAGTTCTTAAATGCAAGCCTGCAATTATTCCATCCATTTTAGGAGTAAAAGGGGATCAATAGCTGGGAACATCCAGAGATGTTGTTCCTCCGGCACAAAGCAGAGGGTCCAGGTAATCTCCATCCTTACCTACAGCTTTTGTCAGATGCCCACCTGTCACCTTTCCAGGTTTTAAATTAAAATCAGACCAGTGTAAGACTCATAATGTAGTCTCTGGTGTCCTGAGCCAATGTATAAGGGTGTGTAGGTCGTGCACTACAAAAATGCACCACATCTAAGGGGTCACTATTAATGTCCTAGACATTTGTGTGTTTATTGCAACAAAGTTTGTGCAGATGGCACTAAAATGTCTTCAGAAAAAGGGGTGCTAGTATGTCTTTGTGCAAGGAACCATATTGTCAAGCAATACCAGAAATACCCCAAGCTTTTAAAATTTTTCATTTTTTATTTTTTTGAACTCTGAGAAGCTAGCTTTTGTTTCTTTTTCCTTTCTTTTTCTTTTGTTTTCTTTTTTCTTTTTTTTTTTTTTTTTAGACAGAGTCATGATCTCTTGCCCAGGCTGGAGTGCAATGGTGCAGTCTAGGCTCACTGCAACCTCCACCTCCCAGGTTCAAGCGATTCTCCTGCCTCAGCTTTCTGAGTAGCTAAGATCACAGGCCTGCACCAGCATACCTGGCTAATTTTGCATTTTTAGTAGCGATGGGATTTCACCATGTTGGCCAGGCTGGTCTTGAACTCCTGACCTCAAGTGATCCACCAACCTCAGCCTCCCAAAGTGCTGGGATTATAGGCATGAGCCACTACACCTGGTAAGAAGAAAGGCTTCCCTGATCGGGAACTGAACCAGGGCTATGGAGGTGAGAGCGCCAAATCCTACCCACTAGACCACCTGGGGCATCATCCTCCCTCCCAGGCTTGTGTCTTTTGTTTCTTTAAAATTAAAAAAACAAAAAAACACTTATCAATGAGGACAATAGGGAAAGAAGTAGGAAGAGAATCATTTCAATCTCTTTAGGCTCAGATGAAAGGGAGAGTAAAGTGTTGGGGCAAATGAGGGATGGGGACTGGCGTGGCTGTAGTTCCTAGTCCCTCATTTGAGGGTAAACCACACACATTGGATTGTTCTCTCACTGTGAAAGATACGGTGATGCTGGCCCAAGCTCAGGAAGTTGAGCTCGATTCGATAATTGGGCCATGAAGAAGAGGTGGGATGGTCTGGCATCACCGTTGCGAATGGGGCTTGCTGGACACCCAGAACTATCTGCTGCCATTTTGTCTAAAGGTTTACCAAACCAAAACACCAGTGGGCTCAGAACACACTGCAAAGGAATGTTCTGTTCCAATCTTGGAGTCCTTGCTATTCTCTTTGTGGTGGGGGGTGGGGAGCGAGGGGACAGAGAAGCATGAGAATGTCTTGTAGAATTCCTGAGTGTGGGTGCTGCCCAATTACATACTCTTGAAGTGCACATTATGTGTAACATTAAACTCAGGATCTGAGTTACTCACCAGGGGCCTGGCTGGGATGGGGCAGGTGTGTTAAAGTGCAGCTGCTCTCTGGTGCTGCGGAGGTGGCAGCTGGCTCAGGCCCCTTCCTATCATTTGTCTCAACTGGAGACTTGAGTGTCTGCCGGCTACACAGTTTTGTCTGCTCAGCCTGATTTAAGGACCTTTTGTAGTTATTAGGAATCCTCACTGTTACTGTTCCCGTGCCTTATACGAATTGGTGGCCAAGAGCTGGAGAGTGATACAGACTCCCTTGGCCCTTCCCCCTCCTCCCATTCCCCTGCCTCTTCCTTCCTCCTTCCCCCCCCCCCCACCCCCAATGCTCTGTCCACGCTCTGGGCAATCAGGGTGGATGGGGACTGGAAACCCTGAACCCTCAGGGTTCAGGACAGAAGGTTCCAGCTCGGAATCTCAGTATTTCTGGGGTTTGTGTGCACCTGGGACCTTCCTGGTGGGGTAAAACAGGAGGGTGTTTGCCCTTCCCAGCCTGAGTGGAGAGGACATGGGGCTTGTGTTCTTCTGTTCTGATCAGAAAAAGAGCTCTGAGGGCTGGCCCTGCACAGAAGTGGGGGCACTGGAGACCCATAGACCCACTGCTGTACCTTCTGCATCTCACTCACTGCCCACCACCTTTTCTCTTCCTTGTAGGTGGCTCCTGCATGTGCGCCAGCTCCTGCAAGTACAAAGGGTGCAAATGCACCTCCTGCAAGACGAGTGAGTGTGGGGCCATCTCCAGGAATCTGGGGCTGTGGCTAAGGTTGAGAGGGAACCCTGGGCTGGCCCTGAGTACATTCTTCTGGGGAACTGGGCTTTCTTTGCCCCTGTTGGCTGTGTCATTTTCTCTCAGAGGGCTTTGTGCCCTCTGGGTCTGGGGTCTGAGCTGGAGCCAAGCTTGCTATTAGGGAGGTGCCTGATCAAGTCAGCTCACCTCTCATTCTTCCCTTTCATCTCAGGCTGCTGTTCCTGTTGTCCCATGGGCTGTGCCAAGTGTGCCCAGGGCTGCATCTGCAAAGGGGCGTCTGAGAAGTGCAGCTGCTGTGCCTGATATGGGGACAGCTCTGCTTCCAGATGTAAATAGACCAACCTGCACAAACCTGGATTTAAAAAAAAAATAACCCTAAGCCGTTTGCTGCATTTCTTTTTCTCTTAAATATGTGAGTGACAATAAAATGATTTGAATCTTATCTGGCCTTTTTTGTGTGTCTTGGAATAAATGGATTGGGGTGGGAATTGAGCTGGGAGTTTAGAGACCAGGCTCTGGGTGGAAATGTGAGCCACTAACAATGCGAACACCTTCGGGAAGCCAGGTTACCTCACTGAGTCTGCACTGCTGTAAAATGGCATGGCACTGTGCCACATCAAATGGGTGGGGTGTTACAGATGATCGCTTCCAGTCTCAATTGTCAAACATGACCCATTTTTTTAGATTCAACGAGAAAAAAATTCAGTGAATACATGAAGAAACAACAGGAAAAACGAAAGATGTACAAACTTTGACGATATGATGATGTGGAAGGCAACCTCAGGGAAACTGGGAAAGGCAGCCAGGACCTCGGGGACCTGGCGTACCTCCAGGCGCACAGCCCTTTCTGTGAGAGCGAGCAGGCGCCAAAGGCACGGTCCCACGGTGTGCACCAAGCAGAGCTCAGGGAGTGGTGTGCCTGGCCCTCTGCCGCGCACAGCCCAGCCCGGCCCAGCCCAGGACCTCTTTTCTTGAAGTAAGCACTTACCATGCTTCTTAATTTAATGCAGAGTCACCACATCAGGGCAAAGATCTCTCCCTTGGTGACGTCCCAAGCTTTGGACGTCCTCGGTCTTGGTGGGCCAGCTAGGCTGTGGGAAGCCCAAAAGAAGTTAAAAAGCAAAAGAGGACTTAAACAAATGTACCCATCACCCTCTCAGGAGTGGAGGATGGAAGGGAGGAAGGCAGGGCCCTGTGTCTGGCCTGCTGCTGTGAAGAGAAGAAACGAGGCCGAAGGACCTGGATGACTATGAAGGTGGGTCGAAGGTCACATGGGAGGCTGGTGCTGTGCACACAACTCCCTTGCTGCGCTTCCCACCTCGGTCCTATCTAGGAACGTGAGCACTAGGCTGGGGCTGCCCACGGATTCCCACAGAGGCGAACTTAGGTCACTGGTGCCGGGTGCGAGGGTGGGGATACGGCCACCACCTGAGGCTGGGTTCCCGGACCGCCCAGGACAGGAGTGGACGGCAATCTACGGGAAATTCGGGAGGGCCTGGATTATAGTCAGGACGGCGCATAACGCCGGGAGCACAGCCCCTTCAAAGCCAGCGAGAGCCAAAGGGCCGCCCTCAGGGTGCATCCTGCGCCTGGCGAGGATCCTGAGCTCGGCCAGCCTGCAGCGCGCAGTCAGGCCCTGAACCCGGGGGCGTTGCTGACACTGTGAGGGGTGGCTGCCAGACCTGCGCCAGGGCGTCTGGCCTGATCCTGGGCTCTGCTCTGCCTCCCACCGGCCAGCCTGTTTTTTCGCCTCTGGTTTAGGAACTCCAGCCTCATCTGACCTCCAAATGGACCCCAACTGCCCCTGCGCAGTTTCGGGGCTTAGCGTCTTCATTTTCGTACTACAGAATAGAAGGTCCCTGGGGCAGGAGGCAGGTGCATTTTGAGCTCTACCTAAAATGGACTCCTTTGCTTTGCACTTCTCGAGCTTTCTCCCTGCCAAGCACCTTCATCACTACTCAGAAGACCGCCATCTTCTCACTGCCTCCCATTTCTGAGGTGAGAGGACAGGCTGAAAATTGGCCGGCTATAGGTCACCCTCAAGGCCAGGGGTGTGCTGGACTAGGACCCAGTGCTTTGTCCAGCATTTGAGCTGCCTGAGATGGATGGGAGGCACGACACTCACCGCTCACTGCCTTTTTCTTCCTTGCAGGTGGCTCCTGCACCTGTGGCAGCTCCTGCAAATGCAGAGGGCACATGCACCTCCTGTAAGAAGGGTGAGTGCAGGACCATCTCCAGGAATCTGGGGGCTGGGCAGAGTCAAAGGAGGGATCTCCACAGGCCAGAGCCGACCAATGATGAGCCTCCCACATCTCCTTGCTTCAGCAAATGACTTAGGATCACAGCTGGAAGAACACTAGAGATGGTTACTTCCCAATCTTCATTCTTACCATGGGGAAACTGACACCAAGAGTGCACACCAGCATCCCAAGCACAGACCTGATACTTGAGGACTTTCCTCACTTAAGTGTATCATTCTAGGAGACTGTCCTTCCTTTTACTGCAAATAGCATGTCACTCCCTTCCAGGCTTCTACCATGTCCTGGGCACAGGAGGTTTGGGCAGCTCTTTCATGGCAAGACTATCACCCCAAAGATTCAGGAGTTGTCTCCTGACAAGCAATGCCACCCTGAACTAAGGGTCCTTGGGCTGGAGGCAAAGCTTGAGCCAGGCCTCTGTTGGGGCAGGGAGGTCACTGGTTGAGTCTGTTCTGACCTCTTACTCTCCCCTTCTTCCCCAGGCTGCTGCTCCTGCTGCTCTGTGGGCTGTGCCAACTGTGCCCAGGGCTGGGTATGCAAAGGGGTATCGGAGAGGTCCAGCTGCTATGCCTGATATCAGATGTAAATAACACAACCCTTACAAACCTAGAGGTTTTTTTAAATACAAGCATAACCCATTTACTGTGTCTGTTTTCTCAAGTGAAACATGGGAATGACAATAAACAGTGTTGGCCTTATTCTGCCTCAATGGTTTTTTTGAGGGGTGTCCTGACATAAGAGACCCCAGACCCAGTGGAGCTGGGATCATCCTATATACTGAGTGCCCTAAAGCAAGTTGGGTTACCTGTCTCTGGTCAGTTTCCTAGCTAAAAATGTAAGAGCATCATGCCAGATGATTTGAGGGCACAGGAATCAGTCATGGACCAAAGCTTTGGTGAGATAAATAGAATGAATGAGTATGAAAAATAAAAATGCAAAGTTCATTTTTCATATTCAACAAGGAAATCTCAAAGGGACATTAAGAACAAAATAAGAGAAAAAAGAACTACTAATGCTGCACATCTGTTGTAAGGTGTAGTGATATTCAGTGTCCAGGAAGGAGGAAGGCCCTGGGTGTCTTGTAATTCATGGTGACTGTTAGTTATCTGGCTATTTGGTGAGGCAGTTGCTGTTTGAGGTTCAAAGAGGCAGAGGAGTCATGTGACCCAAGAGTAAGCATCATGCTGCCTTAAAGTGCTTTGTGAATAAGGGATTTCAGAAGGTAACCTCTGCTGTCCTTGTGCCATGTTTTCTGTGCCCTTGTGTTTTACATGACATAGGGTGCTGGTTGAGGCAATGACATTGCATGAGTGCAAATTTCAGCTGTGTCATTTATACCTGGGTAGCACAACCTCTCTGTGGTTCAGGCTCCTACCTTGTTCCGTGCATGATAACAGGGTCTGGCTGGTGGGACCACATCAGTTAATTCATATAAAGAACTTAATACAGCGTTCAGTGTGTCTCAAGTAGTCTGTAATAGCTATGGTTTTATTATCTTTATTCACAGCATAGGAGCATTTTAGTACCTCCAGACAAATAAGCCAGTCCTGATAGGCTTAGCTGTGTGTCCCATGTTGTTCCCATCAATAACATGAGCATACGACATATGGATCCAAGAGGGAGCCCTACCCATCCACAAATAGGGATCTACGCTGCATATATAAAGCCATAAGCAAGATAGTCCATGTCCGCATAACAGATGTGAAAGGATTCTTGCCATTTCTGCCAACCCCTGCACTGTTATTTTCCTTAACATTTTCCTTTAAAGAATCCTATTTCCTTAATGTATTTACAGAAAAAGCAAACTCTCTGACACTACTGAAAATAAGAATCAGTCACCTTGCAGACATGGAAGGTAGCCACACAGTTATATATATCCCTCTATATCACTTCTGTTGCTCTCGGGATTGACGTTGACATTTGTTTCTGTTTAAAGATTTCAAGCAGTGAAGAGGTGCTGAAGACATAGCGAGGGCGAAGGGAAGTTTCATCACTGACGTCTTATCCTTGAAAAGCTGAGTGGTGGCTGGGTGCGGTGGCTCAAGCCTGTAATCCCAGCACGTTGGGAGGCTGAGGTGGGCGGATCACCAGGTCAAGAGATCGAGACCATCCTGGTCAACATGGTGAAACCCCGTCTCTACTAAAAATACAAAAATTAGCTGGGTGTGGTGGCATGCGCCTGTAATCCCAGCTACTTGGGAGGCTGAGGCAGGAGAATTTCTTGAACCCAGGAGGTGGAGGTTGCAGTGAGTCGAGATTGTGCCACTGCACTCCAGCCTGGCCCCTGGCAACAGAGCAAGACTCTGTCTCAAAAACAACAACAACAACAACAACAAAAAAAAGGCTGAGTGGCTTCAAACCTGCAGCACTACTTTCACTCTCTGTCCTGGGCTAGTTACTTATCTCTTTGTGTTGTCCTTGTCTGAATAGTAAGACGCTGTCATAAAAAGTATTTCCCTTGAGGGTTGCTGTGAGGGTTGAAATAGCCAAAGTGACTCAACAGGGTCTGGCTGAGTCTAAAAGCTCTGTAATAGTTAAGAATCCTGAAAGTAATAACTACTTTTCATGCTTCTTAATTTAATGCAAGGGTGAGCACATCAGGAAAAAGATCCCTCCCTTGGGAACATTCCAAGTTTTGGGAAGCTCCATCCTTGGGCCTGGTGGGCCAGCTAGGCTGTGGGAAGCCCCAAGAAGTTACAGCAAAGGAGGATGTGGACAAATGTGCCCATCACCTTCCCAGGAGTGGGGAATGGAAGGGAGGGAAGCAGGGCACTATGTCTGCTCTGTTGCTCTGAATAAGACAAACGTGGCCAAAGGACCTGGGTGGCAATGCAGGTGAGGCAAAGGTCACATGGGAGGCTGGTCCTCTGCACACAACTCCCTCGCTGCACTTCCCTATCTAGACATGCGAGCACTAGGCTGGGGTTGCACATGGACTCCAACAGAGGTGAGGCTCAGGTCACTGGTGCAGGGTGCTGGGCAGGGGACACTGCGATCACCTGCGGCTGGGTTGCCGGACCGCGCAGAGGCAGGAGTGGACCGCAATTTCTAAGAAATTCGGGTGGGCCGGGATTATAGCAGGGACATCGCCTACCTCCAGGCACGCAGCTCCTTCAAAGCGAGTGGGAGCCAAAGGGCCACCCCCAGGGTGCACACCAGCCTCGCTAAAGAGGATCCTCCACTTGGCCCATCTGCTGCGCACAGCCGGGCCCTGAACCCAGAGTGCCTCTGACACTGCCGGAACCAGAGCCAGGCCTGGGGCAGGACCTCTGCACCCAGCACCCCTCCCCAACTACAAAGCCACCTCCCACTTGCTTGCCTGCTTCTTCACCTCTGGCATAGGTGCTCCAGCCTCACCTGCTCTCCAGATGGACCCCAACTGCTCCTGCACCACTGGTAAAGTATGCCAGGTTTCGGGGCCTTTAGGATCCCCAATTTTTAATGGGGGATTAAAAAATGCAGGAGGCAGATGCATTTTGAGCTCTACCTAAAGTGGATTTTTTTTTTTTTTTACTTTGTACTTCTAGTGCTTTTTTTCTTACCAGTAGCTTTTATTATTATCACTGAAAACCTTACCATTGTCCCAGTGCCTCCCATTTCCAAGGAGAGAGGAATGAGGCTCAAAACTGCCCCTGCTCCAGGTCACCCATAGGCCAGAGGTGTGCTGAGCTGGGACCCAGTGTTCTGTCCAGCATTTGAGCTGCCTGGGCTGGTAGGGAGGTGGGAGACATTGCTTCTTCAAGATTCCCCACTTAAGTCTCTGTGTGGTATGAAAAAGAGGGCACCTGCCCATCCGAGCCTGTGGGGCGGAAAGGCGGGGCTGGGCTAGGTAACAGGTAACAGGATGGAACTAGGTAACAGATTTCCCATGCAGTGAGCAGGAGGATGCTGAGGGGCTGCTTCTAACCCTGCACCACACTCACTGCTCACTGCCTTTTTCTCCTCCCTGCAGGTAGCTCCTGCACTGCACCAGCTCCTGCAAATGCAAAGAGTGCACCTGCACCTCCTACAGGAAGAGTGAGTTTGGGGCCTTCCCCGAGAATCTGGAGGCTGAGCAGAGTCAGAGGAGGGAACCCAGAGATTAGTGGGCAGGAGCGGGACAGTGACCAGCTTTCCACATCTCCTTTCCTGGCAACTGATTCAGGATCACAGCTGGATAAACAAGATGGTTGATTCCCAACTTTCATTCTTAAAATAGGGAAACTGAGGCCACACAAATGCACCAGCCTGCCAAGCACAGACCTGATACTTCAGGACTTTTCTCACTTAAGCCAATGGTTCTGCCGAACTGGTTTTCCTTTGTCCCTGTCGCCCCAGCCACTGCCTCTCCAGTCTTCTGTCTTCTCCTGGGTATACGTTGTGCTGGGCAGCTTTTCACTGGAAGACCCTCACTCCAAAGATCCAGCTGACCCTGATGGAGCAATGCCACCGTGGCCTAAGGGTCCTCTGGAGCTGGAGGTAGGGCTTGAACCAGGCCTCTGTTGGGGCAGAGAGGTCTCCAGTCAAGTCTGCTCTGACCTCTTACTCTCCCCTTCTTCCCCAGGCTGCTGCTCCTGCTGCCCTATGGGCCGTGCCAACTGTGTCCAGGGCTGCATCTGCAAAGAGACATCAGACAAGGGCAGCTGCTGTGCCTCATGTCAGGACAACCCTGCTCTCAGATGTAGAAAGAGTGACCTAAACAAATTTGGAATTTTTTTCCATACAACCATGGCCTTACTAAATTTGTCTCTCTTTTATAAAATATGTGAATGATAATAAAAGTTGTCGCCTTTATTCTGGCTCTGGTTTTCTTTGTGTGCCTTGGAAATAGTTTCCCAGGTTGGGTAGCACTATCACTCACCACCTCCCTTGGCTCGGGGGTGGAAGCTCCCTGTCCTGTGTGGCTCTCAGCTGAGCCACTGCACTGACCCTGCTGACACCTTGGTCTTGAACTTCCAGCCTCCAGAACTGTGAGAACACATTTCTGTTGTTTATGCCCCCAGTCTGTGGTACTTTGATATGACACACCTGGAAAGCTAATAGAGACAGCTGGCATAATAAACTTAAAACTCAGATTTTACATGCAGCTTTAAATATACCAGTTCCTTCTTACATAAAACTGCAGTAAGATTTCTTATTAAAACTGTTTCAACTGTGTTGTCTACTAAGGTAATTTGCTAGTTTGATTTTCTAAGGTTAAGTATTCTCAAATTAAATGTGAAACTAACCATCAAAAATGCCATATTACACATTTCTGACACCAATACATTGTTTTAAGTTATATACTAAGGGGATCAGGAACCTTTAAAACTAACCTACCAGGCTGGGCGTGGTGGCTCACACCTATAATCCCAGCACTTTGGAAGGCTGAGGCGGGTCACGAGGTCAGGAGATCGAGATCATCCTGGTCAACATGGCGAAACCCCACCTCTACTAAAATACAAAAAATTAACCAGGCTTTGTGGCATGCACCTGTAGTCCCAACTACTCAGGAGGTTGAGGCAGGGGAAATCACTTGAAGTCAGGAGATGGAAGTTGCAGTGAGCCAAGATTGCGCCATTGCACTCCAGCCTGGTGACAGGGTGAGATTCCGTCTCAAAAAAATAAAATAAATAAATAAATAAAACTAACCTACCATAAAATGGCATTTCTGTCATTTAATATTTATGGCCTGTAACAGAAACTTCCAAGTTAGTTCAGACATACTTTTATTAGGCTTAAAAACAGGCATTTAAAAATGCCACTCAATCTATTTTTAACAAACAAATGAATTTTAAAACTTTCACTATAAATGAATATGAAGGCTTTGCAAGGCTGAGACAGGCACTTTATAAGAAATAGGTAACTACACAAAAATATGAAATAATTGAACAACCTGCCAAGGTGCCCTTTATCTTGCAGCAATGTGTGGAGTAGATCAAGCATCATGGCATGAAGGAGGTGGGCATCTACTGTGGGTCTGGAGTGGCCACAGACATCCAGGTGCTGAAGGCAGCTGGATCAGGTCGTGATGGAGGTGTGGGCGTCAATGTCCACAATGAGATCTCACAGAGCTCCATGGCCGGGTCACATCACATTCTTCACTGTGTCTTTTCTTCATTTACTGTTTTATTATTTTTTAAAAAGAGAAGACAAGAGTTGTAGAAGGAGCTTCTGTAGAAGCTAGTTCTTGAACCATCCTACCCACCCATACCACTTGCTGGGTGGACCCGGGGCTGCCGGGGGGCCTTGGCCTTCCTGCCTTGAGGGTGGACATGAGGTGCGGAAGCCTGGGACTCAGTGTGTTCTGTCCACTGCCCTGCGTGAGGATGTGGTGGGCAGAGGGCACTGATGGGACCCAGCTCAGGCTAAGGCTGCACCACCTCCACCTCCATCCCACCACTCCTCACCGAGTATTAAGGACCTGGACCTGCCCCAAATGCCAGGGGAGGGCACTGAGAACCCAGAGTGACCTTGTCCAGCAACTTCAACCCAACAGGACTTTGTGCCTGTGACCTTTCTTTGTGCCTGTGACCCACCCAGACCAGGACCCCTAGAATGCCCAGCACCCCTGGGTGGGCAGTGCAGTAGTTTCAGTTCCCTCTGGAGGCCCAGGATGGACCTGGCCTGTGGTGGGGAGGTCAGCTCCAGTGGCCAACCGGATCCAAAGGAAGACACTGGTTCAAACACTGAAACCCATCGGATTCTCCCACAGCCTTCCTGCTGTCAGAAGACTCGTACAGGGGTGGTTGCTATGAACAGGGCAGAGCCACCTGATTCCCATGCAGGCTCTGAGTCCTGCTGCACTGGTCTCCTCCTGGACATCACATTGCGCCAGGCAGGGGAGAAATATGGGGATGCACACACCCCTCCATCATCTCTACACAGACACAGAACCACGCACAGCTCTTGGGAGGAGGAAGATGAGCTGCTCAAAGCCAGGGAGGGACCCGCACAGTGGCCAGCATGGCAGGGACGGTGCTTTAGCCAAAGCAGGGATGGCAGGAGACCTACTTGGGATCCTCAAGGAGGCTGCAGCACTTCCATGTTCTTTCCAGATAACAGGGACGTGTCGATGCTGATGAGTGAGATGGAGGTACACGCCATTGCAAACATGCTGAAGTTCTGCTTCCGTGAGCTGCTTGAGCCCCTCTTCACTGACAAGTTCTACCCAACTTCAATGAGGGCATCGGTGAGCACTGGAGGCCTTGGCGTCATAGGAGGCATCTCTTCCATGTGCACTGCTGCCATTAGGGGCTGTGGAAAGTGAGGTGTGAGAACCCAAGCTGTGTTCTTTCTGCCATGGTGAGTGTTTTAACCAAGCTCAGAAAGCAGAGGCCACAACTGAGGCCATTGTGTAAGTCCTCGTCTGTCCCCAGAGGACTCCTTGTCCTATTCCTCAAGGAGACCAAAAGAGTAAAATGCTCATCACTGCTGTGCTGTGGGGTCCTAAATCTGCTATCCCCCTTCCAGCAGACCAGGACTGAACAAGGGTCCCCAGGTGCTCTAGCCACGGGTCCTGGCCCAGTCAAGCACAGGATCAAACCTGGCCTGATCCCGAGTCAGCCTGGAGGCTGATGTCTAAGCAGGGCACCAGTGTGTGTGGCCCTGTACCCTTTGCATGACCCTTAGGGCAGGCCTGCCTCCTGGGCCCATGCCCAGAGGACCTGGTCTACCAGCCTGGGGTGCCCCTGCAGAGTCTAGGGTGAAGAGAGGGTCTCTGCTCAGTTTGTGGGGCTGGGGCCACCCACCTCCCACCTCCTTGTGTCCCTCACTCCCCTTTTTCATTTTATGCTGAGCCTCCACTCCTCTGGGCTGCCCTCGGGAGGGGGTGGCAGCTGCAGTTTCCCACGGATAGCTCTGCCCATGAGCCACTGCTCTCACACCACCTCCTGCTGCTGTTCTCCAGGTGCTGCTGACCCTTGTGGGGCAGAGAAAAGGGATTCAGGTGGCTCATATCCCACACTGGCACCCTTCACAGGGTCCTCATTGGGGCCCAGTGCTGTGGGAGTGAGGATGATGACGAGCCTGGGCTGTTCAGGAACACGTGTCCCAAGTGCTCCATGTCACCAACTCGGGAGAGTTCTCCAGCTCATTGTGACCATGAGAAGTAACCCACTGCCTTCTGCAGTAATTTCAGATCCCACTGCAAAGGAGAACTTCATGCTTAACCTGCCCTTGTCCCGGCTGGAGGCCAACCTGCTCACCTTCCTTTTCCTTCTGGACCACCTGAAAAGGTAGCCCAGCTCTCTCATAGCTGCCCAGGCCACAGGGTGCCCCTCTGCTCACATCAGACCCCCAGCACTGAGGTCCTTTTCCCTCAACCCATCTACAGTCCCTCACTGCCTCTGGGGACCAGCGCCACTGCCACCCCCACCCCAGCCTCTCCTCTTTGCCCTGCTCCCCTCTCTGCACTGTGGCTTCACAAAGAGCTCAGAGCTTTGGCCATGGCCAGCAGTGTACTTGAATTCCCCAACTCCCTCACTCCCCGACCATGGAGGAGAGCTCCCCACCAGCCCAGAGCTAACCCCTCATCCTGGGCCGCTGAGACCCACAAGTACCAGGGCTGGAATCAGCTTGCAGCACAGCTATGGTCGAGGTTGCTCCCTCTCAGAGGACTCCAGCATGGCCCAGGCCCTCTGCCTCTTTCCTGGTGGTGGTTGTGTAGAAACAGCACACTCTGCTTTGGTCCTGCACAGGGTGGTAAGAAAAAGGCAGTCAATAAAAGTCCCTGCATAACCTCGCCATGGTCTTTGGCCCCACACTGCTCCAGCCTCAGAGAAAGAGAGCAAGCTTTCTGCCAATCCCAGCGGCGCCCATCACCATGACCAACAGCTGGTCCTTGGAGGTCATGACCTACGTGTGGGAAGACAGGTTCCAGCCAGCCCATGCCACCCTGACCTGACAGAGGTGGCCTCTGCCTGTTACACCCCCCATCCTGCCCTGCCCAGCTTCCTACTTGCATTGTCTGTGGTGGTGCCTGAGATTCAGAGAGAGATACTTGCCTAGGTCTGCATGGATGAAAGTGTTGGGGAGGCCCAGGCCACCTCTTGGTCCTGCTGGTGCACCTTACTGGGGGCTTAAGACCACCCCAAGTGTTTGGGTGTGGAGGCTCATGCCTATAGTCCCAGCACTTTGAGAGACCATGGCAGGATAACTGAACCCAGGTGTTTGAGACCAGTCTGGGCAATGCAGCAAACCCGATCTCTAGAAAAGATAAAAGGAAAAATTAGTCAGGCATTGTGGCACACACCTGTAGTCCTAGCTGCTGGGGAGGCTGACATGGGAGGATGGCTTGAGCCTAGCAGTTAGAGGCTGCAGTGATCCATGATGGAGCCACTGTACTCCAGCCTGGGTGACAGAGCAAGGCCCTGTGCACCTCTAAAATAACCCCCTCCAAATCATGCCTTGTACACTTCCACACCCCCACCTCCCTTCTCACTGTAAAGGCTTCATCGCAGCAGTGGAGGACCCAGCACCTGAGCTGGACTTGGGGGCTAAAGATCACCAGCTGTGAGCACCCTCTGAGCCTCTCTCCTCTTTCCCACTCTTTCTGGCAGGTCCAGGTGTTGCTGTACTTCCTGCAGCTGGAGGCCATCCCTGCCCCATATAGTAAGAGACAGAGCATCCCGTTCTCAACCAAAGTCTTAAGGCCCCTGTCCATCTCCAGAAAGTAGATAGACATCTTTAAAACCTCTGGATAATCGTACCATTGTAGAGTGGGAACCAAACCTTCCTGAAGTGTCCTTGGGCCAGCCCCAAGCATCAGGCCATCTGCCAAGGGACAGTAAGACAAAGCAGAAGGACAGGTGGCCTAGGGACATCCTGGCCAGGTCTGGAAGCCCCAGACTGGCCCTAAACTGTGTTTTTTTCACACGGCCACCCGAGGGCACCCCAAGCCAGTGAATCTCAGAGTCTGGGCCAGGTCCTGGGGGACAGAGTCAAGGTAGTGGTTTTAGGAACTTTCTCCTCGATCACTTCTCAAGATGTGCCCTCTCCGGGGAGACAGGAGTGTGACGGGATCCCCTCACTGTTGTATCTTGAATAAATGCTGCTGCTTCATCCTCTGGGGTCATGGCCCTATCCCTGTGTGGGAGGGGCCTCTTCCATTCCCTGACTAGGAAACCACACTCCATTTAGAAAACAATTGAGAGGCTAAGTCAGCACTGGGTAACATTTTGACTCCATTCTCAGCTTTCTTTTTTCTTCTTTCCAGAAGGACTTTGTGCAGAAATGGATTTTTTCTTGCTGTGTTTGTCCTTATTGGAAGGCAGCTCCAGGAGGCCCATGAAATGTTGGAGGACTGGACCCCAGGAGAGGGAGTCCCAGGCTGTGCACTTTAGGATTCCTCCTCCAGGGAGAGCAACCTCATCCCCGATCCTGACTGCCCTCCTGGCTCACACTCTCCTGTTTGGCTTCCACAGGCTGGGACTTCTCTGGCTTCCCTCTGCCCACACTCTCCCTGCCTCAAGTGTCCCCAGCTCGGGTGGCTTCATTTTTCTCTCAACTCAGGGAACTTGCTCAACTTCTGTAAAAGTCCCCACTTAGTGGTAGAAGCTCGCTGATGGCATGTTTTAAAACTTTGATTCAAACAACCTTTTAATACTTGAATATTTTAAGTTTTATACATAGTTTCTATTTTTTTCCTAAGAGATTCAGATACCTAATAAGATCCCAGAATGGCACCAATTTGTCTTTATTTAAGTGCCTGGCTCTGCTCTCTCAGGAGTGGGTTCTGAGGTCTCTGGACTACAGGATATTCGGAAGGTGAGGAAGAAGCCCGGCCTAGGAACAAGGGGCAGGGGGATGGTCTCCTTGCTTGAGCAGGCAGAGGCACAGCACCACCTGCCGCCCCCTCTGCCAGCACCTGTGTGGGAGCCCAGGCATCCTTTGTAATCCTGCATTACCAGCAGGCTGAAAGAAAACAGAAGCATGGAGTCTGCCACTTATTTTCAACAAATTAACCCATAAACAATTCCCTCACTTTTTCAGAAAAAGGAGGTTGGGGCAAGGAGAGGGGAGAAGGGAGACGAAACCCAGAGCCGAGTTTCCAGAAAAGGAAACTTTTCTCCTGCAGGAGAAAAGGATGCTGCTGCCCAGAGGAGGGAAGCAGGATCACACTCAGGAAAGTGTGTGGGGTCCTAGATGACACCAACGCCCAGTGAAGTTCTGTCCAGCGACCTCTCCCAAGGTGGGGAAGGTGAGTGTTTCCTGGATGTCCGTGGGCAGATCCTGCTGAGCATGCAGCATGTTGGGGAGTCTGACACTGGAGCCATTCTCCTCCACTCCAGGCAATTCCAGGCAAGGCAATTCCAGGCAAGGTCAGGCCAGACCAGGCCAGGCCAGGCCAGGCCAGGCCAGGCCAAACAATTCCAGGCAAGGAAATCCCAGACAAGGCAAGGCAAAGCAAGAGAAGGCAATGCCAGGCAAGGCAGGGCAGGGCAGGGCAGGGCAGGGCAGGGAGGGCAGGGAGGGCAGGGCAGGGAGGGCAGGGCAGGGAGGGCAGGGCAGGGCAGGGCAGGGCAGGGCAAGGCAGGGCAAGGCAGGGCAAGGCAGGGCAAGGCAGGGCAAGGCAGGGCAAGGCAAGGCAAGGCAAGGCAAGGCAAGGCAAGGCAAGGCAAGGCAAGGCAGAAAATTTGAGGTAAGGCAAGAGAAGGTAATTCCAGGGAAGGTAACTCCAGGCAAGGCATAGCAAGGCAATTCCAGGCAAGGAAATTCCAGGCAAGGCAAGGCAATTCCAGGCAAGGCAAGGCAAGGCAAGGCAATTCCAGGCAAGGCAATTCCAGGAAATGCAAGGTAAGGCAAGGCAAAAAATTCCAGGCAAGGAAATTCCAGACAAGGCAAGGCAAGACCAATCCAGACAAGTCAATTTCAGGCAAGGCAAGGCAATTCCAGGGAAGACAATTCAAGGCAAGGCAAGGGAATGCAATTCCAGGCAAGTAACTCCAGGTAAGGCAAGACAAGGCAATTCCAGGCAAGGCAGTTCCAGGTGAGGGAAGGCAAAGCAAGGCAATTCAAAGCAAGGCAAGGAAAGGCAACTCAAGGCAATTCCATGCAAGGCAAGGCCTAGCAATTCCAGGCAAGGCACAAAAAGGCAAGGCAAGCCTTTTCAGGCAAGGCAAGACAAGGCAGGGAAAGAAAATTTGAGGTAAGGCAATTGCAGGTAAGGCAAGACAAGGCGGGGAAAGGCAAGACAAGGGAAAATTCCAGGCAAGCAAGGCAAGACAAGATAATTCCAGGCAAGGCAAGGCAAGGCAATTCCAGGGAAGGCAAGGCAGGCAATTTCAGGCTAGGAAATTCCAGGCAATGCAAGGCAAAGCAAGCAAGGCAATTCTGGGAAAGGCAAGGCAAGGCAAGACAAGGCAGGGAAAGGGAATTCCAGGTAAGGCAATTCCAGGTAAGGTGAGGCAAGGCAATTGTAGGGAAGGCAAATCCAGGCAAGGCAATATCAGGCAAGGCAATTCCAGGCAAAGCAAGGCAATACAGGGTAAGGCAATTCCAGGCAAGGGAAGGCAAGGCAATTCCAACAAGGAAATTCCAGGCAAGGCAAGAAAGGCAAGGAGAGGCAAGGTCATTCCAGGCAAGGCAAGGCAAGGCAATGCAATGCAACACAATTCCAAGCAAGAAAATTCCAGACAAGATAAGGCAAGGCAATTCCAGACAAGGTAATTCCAGGAAAGGAAAGGCAATTCACCTGGAATTGCCTTGCCTAAAATTGCCTTGCCTAAAATTGCCTTGTGTTGTCTTGCTTTGCCTTGACTGGAATTGGGTTGCCTGGAATTGCCTTGACCTGCCTTAGCAGGAATTGCCTTGCCTGGAATTGCCTTTCCCTGCCTTTTCTTGCTTTGCCTGGCCTGGAATGCCATTCCGGCAATTTCCTTGCCTGGAATTACCTGGAATTGCCTTGCCTGGAATTGCATTGCCTTGCTTTGCCTTGCCTTGTTTTGCCTGGAATTGCCTGGCCTAGAATTGCATTGTCTTGCCTTACCTTGCCTTGCCTGGAATTGCCTTTCCTGGAATTACCTTGTCTGAAATTACCTTGTCTGGAATTGCCTCGCCTTGTCTTGCTTGGTATTTTCTTGCTTGAAATTGCATTGCATTGCCTTGCCTTGCCTTGCCTGAAACTGCCTTGCCTGGAATGACCTTGCCTCTCCTTGCCTTTCCTTTGCTTGTCTGAAATTACCTTGTCTGGAATTGCCTTGTCTTGCCTGGAATTTCCTTGCTTGGAATTCCATTGCATTGCATTGCCTTGCCTTGCCTGAAATTGCCTTGCCTGGAATGACCTTGCCTCTCCTTGCCTTTCCTTGCCTTTCCTGGAATTTCCTTGCTGGAATTTTTTTGCCTTGCCTTGCCTTGAATGGCCTAGAATTGCCTTGCTTGGAATAGATTTGCCTTCCCTTGCCTGGAATTGCCTTACCCTGCATTGCCTTGCCTTTCTTGGAATTACCTTGCCTGATATTGCCTTTCCCTGCCTTGTCTTGCCTTGCCTAGTCTGAAATTGCCTTTTCTGCAATTGCCTAGCCTGGAATTGCATTGCCTTGCCTTGACTTGTTTGACCTTGCCTGGAATTGCTTTGACTTGCATTGCTGTGCCTGGAATTGTCTTGCCTGGAATTGCATTGCATTACCTTGCTTTCCCTTGCCTGGAATTGTCCTGCCTTGCCTTCCCTGGAATAGCCTCTTCTGAAATTGCC